TTAGGTGTTTTAGGAGTTAGTGACAGGCAGTCAGGAAAAGGGCAATAAGGAATGGAGTGTTCATCATCTCTTGACATCCCTCTTGTCAGACTCAGAGAAATACACCTCCACGCAGGACTTGAAACATTAAGTAGATGTGATGTCCCCAGTATAACAAACTGCTCTCTGTTTCTTAAGAATTGACTTTATCTTTATGTGATTTCTTATTAAGCCGTGAGATGCCTACTGGGATGTAAAGCAAAATGTTTCCTCGGCAGAATTTCTGCTGACATACAGGGAAAATCCATACTAGGATAGCATTGACTGTATTTTCAACAGACTTACCAATTACTTACTTATTGATTATGTATGCCTTTTGGTAGGAAACAATCAATAACAGCAAGTATTTTTTTACTATTAGGTTAAGTTCCATTTATGCCCTGTCTCGGCTGCACTGAACGAACTCATTCATTAGGTGAAGGATACAAGCACTTGACCTGATTGTGTAGATTTTAGGCATTTTCTTGGATTTTAAAGTGAAATTTTTGGAAGGGAAGGAAAAGACATTTAGTATCTGGAATGAAGGCAAATCTTTTTCAGTTTGACTTTAATATGTAAAATAAGATATAAAATTGTAAGAATATAGAAAAGAGATGATAAAACTTTTGATTAAGAATTCTCTCAGCTTTCAAATGTTGTTCTGTGAAGAAATCTCTTCTGTGGTCTAGTGTTTAATTTTCTTTTCAAACAAGTTAATATATTCTAGGTTCAGAAATCTCATGAGTAAATTTATTTTCCATGCTTCTTATTCATTAAAACGTATTATTTACATACTTCAAAAGGTAGGAAATTACAAAAAGTCTGATCGTGTATAAAATTCTGGAAGCTTTATCATGATACTGTTTTCCTTGAAGAAAAATTAATTTGACATGATGTTTCTTGGATTTTCTTACCTGCAAGTTGTTCCATTTATTCATCTTCTTAGAGTAAGATTTACCCAGTCTTGTATTTGAGCACCTGCTTGTCTTTGAAGTTTTCTTTGTGCTCTGTTGAGTATCCCTGTAGTCTTCTAGGTTGCAGGGCAGATCGTAGCCTTGTTACACCAACAGACCCTGCAGTTCTGGTATTGCAGCAGCGAACCTAAGAGAAGCATCCAGACCAAGAATTAAGAAAACAACAGCAGCGTAAAGTTTTCTTTAGGGTTCAGCTGCTATGTATGCTCCACCTTAAAGGACTGGAGATCTAAATGAAGCTCTTTGGAGCAGAACCTTTCTTTTCCATCTTATTGTCTGCATGTGCATACAAGTATGCGTGTTTGCGCTCCTCTTGCCAAGTCAGCAGGATTCCTGAGACCCATACCAGAGGTAGGTGGATGCCAGCAAAGCCATAAGGGTGACTGGTGTAGCATGGACAAGCGTGTGCCCGGGATCACCCCTGCAGCAGCGGTGGGAAGCGATGGAAGTCCCAGGGCAGTGCCGAAACAGTCCCCAGGCCAAGAGAAGGCAGGACCTCGTGTGAACTGTGTTTCGCTGAGTGCTGCCTGAGCTGTTGGTGATAGGAGGGGAAGAAGTTCTCAAGTGCATTTCTCCAACTGAAGTGTAAAATAGTATTGATTTGGGCTTTTTATACACTTGGAACCATCTTTTCTCTACACAGTTTCATTTTAGAATAATTCGTTTGGTTCATATTACAGAGCTGTACTGTAGGAGTGGTGTTCTGATATGTGATACTTCATAGACTGTTAGGAGTAAGATGATGTTTCTTAAGCTCATGTTCTATATTCAGTTTACCACTAAGGAAAGGACTTGTAAATTCAAATCCTGTTTTACTCATAAATTAATAGAAATCTGGAAATAATTCTTTGCCTTCACTTCTGATGCTGGCTATGCTAATGTTATTAGCAATGTGGGAGTACATATAGGAAAGAACAGTCCCCAGAGACTTCTAACTAATTAGGAATTTACTGATTGGCGTAAGTAATGAATTATGAGCGAAGTGATACATGAAGTAGTTTGATTTTTAACCCAGAAAGAGTAATATAGCATTGTGTTAACTAGAGAATGGAGACTGACCTTGCATTAGTTGGGGAATACTGCGTACGGCTGCAGTTGCTTGTTGGATTGGAAGTGGAGTCCCAGGGTTGTTCTGATATTGGGTATTTCGATAATACTCCAGTGGGATTAGTCTGTAATAATAATGTCAAAGCAATGCAGATGAGTAAACATGTAATATATAGCATTATAAGAACAGTAATCATGTGTGATTTAAGAAAGCAAAGATGAAAAACAGAGACACTGGGGTATCAAATGGGCCTGGTTGAGAGCACTTCCAGGGACGGCAATCTCTTATAAGCAAACCAGCTTAGGTAGTTTAATTTCTTCCTGCTATGATTATGTACAACAAAAGCTACAAAATCTTTCAGAGGGGCAAAACTAATGAAACTGTTGCATACTCCTAGATGACCTTATCTGTCAGTTAGCAATGAGCATTTCACACCACCACTCCCTTAGAGTATTGGTGCATCTTTTCATCCTGCCTACCAAGGAAGAGTGTTTAGAGGTCCCTGTTCTGTTGGCAGAGGTATGCAGAAACTTGTCAGCGTAGATGTTGCGAAGGAGCAAGCCTGGTCATTACTTTCTGTGCCAGTAGCTGCAGAGAAATGTATAATCGTTAGCTTGCTTAAAACACTGCATGGATCATCTGTTCCACATGTCACTTTAGGCAGCAGAGCGCTTCCCAGCATTGGATTGCAAACTCAGAACCTGTATAAAAGATCAAAACACATGGCAGTATTATGCTCTGGGAAAAGATTAGGCAGGAGCTGTGCATTGTTGATCTCCTGTATACACATTCTGGCAAAGTATTTGTTAAGAAGAAAAACCCTTAGTTGTTCCTGAGAACCAGATTGTAGTACTGAGAAATACAATTAAGGATTCAGTGTGGGAGGTGGGGGAGAGAGGGGAATTTTCCTTTAGACTCCAGATCTCACGATCGAGTAAACCCTGAATTAACGAGTGTGACACACTGGCAAAGCACCTGAGGTTGCATCATGGGTGCAAATGTACAGTATTTTTGGTTGCAGTAAGTACGATGACTAACTCTTGTAATCATTATGAATACTTGCAGGTTTTTCTAAAACTGAAAGCAACATTTTGATCCATAGCGTCTCCTACAGCTATGCAACATGTCTACATGTTCAGATGCAGGTAATCACATCTGTTCTTTCTGGACTGTCAAAAAGGCCAGATGTGAGCAAACAATGTGGAAGCTCAGTAGCTTCCAAGTGATGCCAAATGATGGTTTGGTGACAGCCAAGTTGGAGAATGCACCAGGTAGCTATGCTACTGTCTGCTTCTGACACAACCCATGCTGCTGACTGAATACACTGCAGAATTTTGTCTTAGTAGAAGCTTTAGAAGCATAGGAGAATTCTTGCCCAAGCACTTAAGTCATGCTGTATAATGGTAAAAATGTGAATAACTAAAGTGACGTCATCATCAGCTAGAATAGAAAGACGAGCTTGTCAGCCACCTAGAAAGGAGCAGGAGCATTGCACAGGATGATGCTACGTCTACAAAAGATCCAGCAGTTAACCCCGTTAGAAGTACTACCAAGGTTTACGAGATACTCCACCGGGGCGGGAGGCTCTTCTGAATGCTTTCCTCTGCCCACCACCATTACCCCTCGTTGCTCAGGTTTGGCCATTCTCGTTCAGGGCATCTGTTCTTCATCTTGAGGTGAGGATATGTTAGGTCATCTTCTCAGTCATATGGAAAGGTATTGATAGAGCCTTGTTGCTGATTTTGTAGTGCTTATTCTAGACCTTACTCATGAACATATGAATGTAGACAAGGAACTTTCTTGGGTTTTGGGTGGCTTTTCATCTTTAAATCTCACTCTGCCACAGCAAGACTGCTAGTGCAGTGCAGACATACTGTTTGTTTGCAGTGCGTATATGATGTTTGTATCTGACCAGTCCACCTAAAAGCTGCATACTAATGCTGAAAAGGACCAGAGAGATGGATGATCCTTCTGGGATTTCATAATTTTCTAGGTGGATCTTTAGGACTTCATGCTTTTTTCCAGAATACCTGGGCAGCTGGTGGTTTTAATAGGTATTCTCTGACTGGAAACACTGGACATGAGGTATGATTGCCTTGTGGCTTTCCAAACAGTTGCAGCCCTGCTGGAGCTGTGCATACATAGATTGCCTTGTCCATCCATGTGCAATAAGGACATCTCTTTTCGAGAGCTCGAGGGTTTCTGTTGCAGGTGACCTGCATTTGTTGAGGTCTGTGGGATAAGCTTGGCATTTTCCAAGAATGCTAAATGGTCAAACTGCAGAAAGGGGTGTCCCAGTCATCATGTGAGGGAAATTTTATATACGCTTATGACTATGAAAGCGCTTCGCTTACTTTATACCTGTTCTGCAGAGATTTCAGGGAGTTACAGTGGAGGTATATTTGTGTAAGAATAAGGAATAAAACTGTTAAGATCTGATGTATTTAATCTCTATCTGGATTCTTGTTGTGTCTAATTCTTTTGATTAACAGTGACATCTGCTAGTGGCCTCAAAAAGAACCTGAACCTAAAATTTTCTAGTACTATTATATTATTGTGCCTTTTACCCTTCAATTTAGTTAATCAGTTGAAGTACTTTATAAAACATAGAGGTCAGAGGACGAAAGCAGAAAATGAGAAAAGATAGCTTTTCTAAAATGTGAAACTACCTTTAGTTGTAAGTGTTGCCAAACTTTGTATTTATTGGCTCTGTATAGTCTAGTATACTAGCACATTGGTGTAGTTTTTAATAACCTTTTACAGCACATGTCTCAGATTTATCTATATGCAGAGCCTTGTGTATAGAACTTGTGAATTGTAACATAAAGAATCTCCAGATGTACACGTTATTTCTTATTAACATATACAATGATTTTCTTGGGAAGTAGATGACATTTTAGAAAGGCAACATCTGCGTTATCACTTAAATTTTAATAATGCCAATAATTTTCTTTCAACAGAGGAATTCAAGGGCTCAACAATAGTTGAATTAATGAAAAAAGAAGGCACCACCCTGGGGCTTACAGTATCGGGTGGAATCGACAAGGATGGGAAACCAAGAGTATCTAACCTTCGTCAAGGAGGAATCGCTGCTAGGTAACCACATCTCAAGCCACAAAATGCATTATAAGATGTAATTGCTTCAGAAATATGTACCGCATCAGAAAGGTCACTAACAAATATGTAACTAGATGCATCTATAATGGCAACCCATCAGACCGGAGAAGCTTAGAGAGAAATGGTGACAGCTGGTCCCCCTCTTCCCTCAAGGCTACTCTGACAAAAACTAGAAATACCAAAGAGATATTTGAAAATCATCCTAAGACTAATTAAGTTTCTTCTAAATTATATACATTTTATTTCTCTCTTTTTTTTGTCCTTGAACAAAAACTTGAGAGAAGAAGCGTAAAATACTGAGGGGAAAAATAAAATGGAAAAACTAACCATAGTACTACCATAATTTAATTTTTTAACAAAACTATTCCTCAGCTGGTTTTAAGATACAAAAAGAGTCTAAAGTCATAGCTACCTTGCTTACTACTACAGTGGAAACAAAAAAGCCGTTATTCATGAGTGAAGCAAGTCAAAAGATAAAGGTTAACCTAAGTCATTCCAAGTAACTGAGCAGAACATACGCTGTGACCTATCTCTGTTAGGTGTGAGGGCAACTATTGTCCAAAAAAATTAGTTTTGGATTCTTCCCAAAGAGACAGAGAAAGATGGGGACATGAAGAACGTGATTTCCTGGATCCTATGCCCAAACCAGTCAAATCATCCAACTCCTTTGTGGTACAGCTGGTTTTGTACATCAGAAATTAATATTGCAACAATGTTCTTTTAATATTTAACAAGCTAGACTAGATGAAGATCTTAAAATGCTACTTTCTGTTTGAAAGATCAACTTGTTTTAATCTAGGTAAATGAAAAAAATATACCATCGCTAAACACTAATTTGAAGGATTTAGTTTGGTCCAGCAGATCCTGTCTTTAACGAAAGGAATATGTACTTTTTCCTAGGAGTGACCAGCTGGATGTAGGGGACTACATCAAGTCTGTGAATGGAATCAACCTGACCAAATTTCGCCACGATGAGATCATCAGCCTTCTCAAGAACGTTGGTGAGAAGGTTGTTTTAGAAGTGGAGTATGAGCTGCCTCCAGTCTGTAAGTAACAGCAGAGCAAACTGAAACCTGTGCAGAATAGCAGACATGTTGTCAGCAGTGAGATGGGCCTGGTTGGTGATCTTCAGTTTTGGTAGTGGTTGTTTTCTTGTAGTTTTTTCCTCTGGCTTATTGCAGAGTGTGGAAGCAGTACGAAGGAACTGGCAGTACAGAGGGATGCTTTCAGAGATGTTTAGGTGTTTTAGGAGCATAAGTCAACCTCTGCTATTTTTTTTCGTTGTTCATTTGTTTACTGTTTTGAATACTGGGAATTAGATTAGGTAGATTCCAGGGCAGAAGAACCCTTATTTACAGTAAGATCTTCTGATACAAGACCAATGAATATCTGTGAGTTCTGCCTCTGCCTTTTCCTTCCTTCTCTCCACTTGCAGCACCCTCCCACTCTCCCAGATAAACAACATACTTTGGGACTTTTCCAGTCTTTTCTGACATCGCTTCTAGGCAACCTCTTGTTTCTAGAGTAGAAGACCCAGTAGGGTAGGTCACGGGGATACATAAACCTGCAAGATTTGTGTGACTCGAGGGCTTCTCGCTGAGCAGGATTGTCCTCAAAATACGAGTTTATGCTGACACAAAAGTCACAGAGTGCTACTGAATGTTTTCCTTGCCTCTCCTTTGCTCTTTCTTTTTGTGCTTATGTCTGTTGACTGTGAGTCTGTAGGAGAAAATCAGTGGGAAGTGAGATGATCAGATATGAAGTGAAAGCTAGAGAAATGGTGAGATGGAAACCTGGGACCTAAGGTGAAGGAGTGAGTGGCAGGTGGCTCTCTGGCACCAAGGGGACTGCACCAGTCACAGCTTTGAAAGAGTTTATGCTCCTTCATAGAATCATAGAATCATTATGGTTGGAAGAGACCTCAAAGATCAAGTCCAACCGTATACCTGATGCCACCATGCCCACTAAACCATATCTTGAAGTGCCACATCTAAACGTTTTTTGAACACCTCCAGGGATGGTGAGTCCACCATCTCCCTGGGGAGCCCATTACGATGCTTAACAACTCTGACAGTGAAGAAGTTCTTTCTAATGTCGAGCCTGAACCTCCCCGGCACAACTTGAGACCGTTTCCTCTTGTTCTTTCATCCTGCTCACTGGAGGGGAGAAGATGTGGTTTGCTGGTGTTAGGCCAGAAGACTCTGCGGAGCCAACTAGGAAGCTCTTGTCTCCTTAAATAAAGATATTCCTCGTAATAGAAGCCAAAAAATCCATCACGCTCTTTGGTGCTCTGAAGCAGATAACTCCCCACTGCTTTCTAGCAGCTGGAGAGTTAGTCTAATTATATATTTGGTTGTTTTTACGACCTCCTGACAACCACCTTAATATGTTTTGAATGTTCTCTGTTGATTAGTGTTCATCTGCGGTAAGGGAACTTTATGTTCAAAAACACAGTATTTGAGTTAATTAAGTCAACTGAGTTTAGAGTTATTTTGCTGGAGATGTAATTTTATGAGCATTATTTGTTATGCACCTCTTCAAGTGGGCTTCTCCTTCTGTTTCACACGCTTTTGGCATATGTGCCACTTGTCCACTGAAACAGGATTTTGACATGTTGAATTACCATAGCAACTGTAACTTTTTCTTTAAGTCCTTGGAATTTCTGACCTCTTCATACAAGCATAGCTACTTAAGTTGGAGATAATGAGCAGTCTAGTTGCTGCCATTAACTTCTAGTGAACGAGCTAGACACAGTGCCTTCATTATATGCAGAAGTTTTCCAGCAGGTCACATGGCGAAGTCCTGGGACCTCCTTCCCTGCCCCATACATAATGAAATTCTATTGTTGTTCTCATGGTTGCCCCCTCAGAGAGAGGACTATCATGGTTTCAGAGTGGGGAAATGTCAGTACTTTAATAATGATGGATTAAATCTGGCCGAGCACTAGTAATCCCACTCTCCCTAGCGCTTCCTTCCCTGTCTGGCAGTGTTCACAGCAGGAGCATCCAGCTGCTGATTTCAGCACAAGCCGCCTCAACGTTTTAAACTGGAATATGAGCCATGTCTGCCTCACATCTGCCTTTGTTGTTACTAGAGGTTAAGGATTTCTTTCCCCTCCCAGGATAAGGCTGGGGTGGAAGGACAGCCATCTGAATGGTTGTTGCCCAACTGTAGGGATGCTGCATGCCATTCCGCGCTGCTGAATGACAAATTTCGCCTGTGCCCAGTGGAGGTTACAAGCCACACCAAGCAGATTGGGAAGCATGGATTCAACTTGAACTACATGCAGAGCCACTTACTGTTGGTAGGAATGAAGGCAAGAGTGCACCCTCAGTACATTTGCAGATGACACCAAGTTGAGTGGGAGTGTCAATCTGCTGGAGGGTAGGAAGGCTCTGCAGAGTGACCTGGGTGGGCTGGATAGATGGTCCAAGACCAGCGGCATGAGGTTCAACAAGAACAAGTGCCAGATCCTACACTTCGGCCGCAAAAACCCCATGCAGCATTACAAACTGGGGGAAGAGTGGTTAAAAAGTGGTCAGGCGGAAAAAGACCTGGGGGTGCTGGTC